GTTAACATGATTGTTTGCACGTCTCTGATCACAGTGTATCCCTTTTAAGTTTTGCATTTGTGTGGGTGCAGTTCCGCCTCGTGATGCACTACCTGAGCGAGATGACAGAGGAACAAACTCTGGTTATGTACAGCGGTCACCCCATGGGCCTTTTCCCCAGTCTGCCTTCCTCACCTCGCGCCATCATCACCAACGGCATGGTAACGGCGAATCAGGCATTTAGCTCAGTAATGTCATATGAAGCGATAAGTGACGCATTCACATGTTTTTCTTTTGCTTGCATCAGGTTATTCCAAATTACTCCTCCAGAGATCAGTATGAGAAGATGTTTGCGCTGGGTGTATCAATGTAAGTCCTCAAGGTCCATTATAGATACTTGCTTTTTTTGTCTGGAGATGCCAAGTGTGGTCTCTTTGGTCTTTGCTGTGCATTTTCAGGTACGGTCAAATGACGGCAGGCAGCTACTGTTACATTGGGCCTCAAGGGATTGTTCATGGAACTATGGTTTGTAATAATTACAAACAGATGCACACAACACAGTCTGAAAGTCCCTCACACAAAAATGTATTAATGCACGCTGTAGTGCCTGTTTTAGATTTGTATTAGTGGTCCTTTTTTGCAGCTGACGGTACTGAATGCCGGCCGGAGGTACCTGGGCTCTGATGATCTGAGGGGGCGTGTGTTTGTGACCTCTGGCTTGGGGGGAATGAGTGGCGCTCAGGCTAAAGCTGCCGTCATTGCCGGCTGCGTCAGTGTGATTGCAGAGGTCAGCTGGTTTCAAGTCATTTCCCATGAACTCTGATGACTAAGCAATAACAGAGGAAGTACTGTGTAAAGTCAATGTGACTGTGTATATTTGATTTGCGTTTAGGTGGATGAGGCTCCTCTGAGAAAGAGACATGAGCAGGGTTGGCTAATGGAGGTCACTAGCAGCTTGGATCAGTGCATTAAACGCATAAGGTAAATGAGAACATTGGATTAAAAGTCTTTATCAAAGGTTCAGTCAGACTGCTCTCGTTTGAAATGATTTACTACATCAGAGATTGAAAAGGTGGCCCTTAAAGGTGGTTTTCGATGTAAGGAGACTGGTTGTGGATGAAGCAGTGCATATCCAGCTGACTGCCTGTACTAGCTTGTAGGATTCACTCGAGCATGTTCTCTTTGTTGAGACTTTGTTCAACGAAGGGACATTTAACCAAATATCAGTGCGGGTGTTTGCGCCTGTATGTATACTTTTAACCTTGTGTGGATTAGAGGTGGTAAAATGTTTCGTACATTACAACAAACCCCATAAACATACAAGTAGCATGGTGATCCAATGTTAGAAGGATTCCACAGGTAAATCTCTCAGCTGTGAAAGTCACTAATTACTACTTTGTTTCTTACAGAGAGGCTAAGAGCGCCAAGACTCCCCTCAGTCTGGGATACCATGGCAATGTTGTAGACTTGTGGTGAGTCAGACAGGATACGTTTACACTATAAAACTCAGGTCGACAGCTGCAGCTGCAGTGAAGGAGACAGTTTTTGTTGTTGTTGTTCCCTTGAGGTCTTAGTCATAGTCTGCTCTTTCTAAACAGGGAGAGAATCCTGCTGGAGTTTGAGAGGACAGGCGAGCTCCTGGTAGATCTGGGTTCAGACCAGACCTCGCTTCACAACCCATATAATGGTGGTTACTATCCAGTCCAGCTCAGTTTCCATCAGGCCAACCAGTTCATGTCTACTGATCCTGACCGTTTCCGCAACGTGGTCCAAGAAAGGTTAAATTAATCACAGAGCTTAACAAAGCTTATTGTTGTGCTGTTGTTTTTATATGTCTCTCTATTAAGCTGAAGAAATGTGTTTTAAATGCTATCACAGCCTCCGAAGACAAATAAAGGCTATCAACAAGCTAGCTGATGCAGGCATGCACTTCTGGGACTACGGTAATGCTTTCCTCCTGGAGGCCCAAAGAGCTGGTAGGTAATTTAACAAACACAGAGAACTCCATTATCATGCAGTTAATTATAGACTAATAACGAGGAATACTGTCTTTTGATTTACAGGTGCAGAGGTTCAAAAAGTTGGTGGAGGAGCAACAGAGTTCCGTTACCCTTCTTATGTGCAGCACATCATGGGGTGAGCATTATGAACTAAACTTCACTAAGTTTAAATATGTTGTGAAGCCTGCCATACTGTGACTAAACCCTTTAATGAGATGTGTGAATAAACTTGTGTGCAATATTTGTGATCTCATTTCATATGCCTTTACCCAGGGATATTTTCTCATTGGGCTTTGGGCCATTTCGCTGGGTGTGCACATCTGGCGACCCCAGAGATCTCGCTGTAACTGACAACATTGCCGCTACTGTCCTGGAGGAAATGAGCGCCAATGTACCTGATCGTGTGAAACAACAGTACAATGACAACATTCGCTGGATTAGAGAGGCTGGAAAACATAAAATGGTAAGCTCCCTACTAAAACAATCCACCCACTGGATATTTCAGTGTAAATTACACAGGTAATACGGTAAATAAATAATAATACAACAGGAATGCCCATATGCTTCATGTATTGTTTTTTTTTGTTTAGGTTGTAGGATCACAAGCCAGAATCCTGTACTCTGACCAGAAAGGAAGAGTCTCCATTGCTTTGGCGATCAACCAGGCTGTTGCTGATGGAAACGTTTCAGTAAGAGGATAAACTGTCTGCTGACGTGATCATGAGGCTTGATGTTCAGTTTGGAGTGTAGTCTCAGTAGTGTCTTTGTTGTTACTCTTGTTCAGGCGCCAGTGGTTATTAGCAGAGACCATCATGACGTTAGTGGCACAGACAGCCCCTTCAGAGAGACTTCTAATGTGTATGATGGTTCTGTCTTCTGCGCAGGTACGTGGTACACTCACTACAGCTGAATACAACTGAAATTTGAAGCTTAATACATTGAACTCATTTTACATCACAGGCCACATACAGCCCACTTTGAGCTTAAGTCATCTTAAGTGGGCCAGATCAAATAATTAAGTCTCAGTGTGTGTTACTTCCTTCTTTATTTTGTTGGAGTCCCCTGTCTCCTGTGTGCATGTTCAGTTTTGCTTCCCCTGTCTCGTTAGTCAGATTTAGTTCACCTGTGTTCCCTGGTGTGTTCCATCCTCCTGATTACCTCATGTGTGTATTTAAGCCCCTCTTTCTCTTTAGTTTGTTGTTGTGATCTCCCCTCGTGTTGTGTATTCTCCTATCAGTCCAGCAGTGTTCGTTATTTTAGGTAGTTTGTTCCAGCTCTGCCCTGCCTGTTTTATTGGCCTGCCACTTGCCGGCTGATAAAGCTGAGTTTTTTAGTTCAAGTCTGTCTGCCGAGTCCTGCATTTGAGTCCGCACTCAACCTGCCACACACAAGTGTCCCATGACACAAGTCAGTTCCTTAAAGGCATTCTGAATGCAAGAATGGGAGACTTAAAATATTTTAAAGCTCACTTCCAGGCAGCACATTGTGGTGACAGATGCAGCTTTATAACAGAGCGTATGACCCATTACTGGTTTAGAGAGTTTCAGTGCCTCTGCAGGAAACCAGTATCAAAGAAAAATGCTCTGTGCTTTGCTTCATGGGCGGTACTGAAACCGAATTGTGTCTTTAAAAAAAACTAAACTAAATCTCCTTGACTACTGCTGATATGAAAACTGTTGTGGCTGAAAGTTGTGGCTTGGCCCACAAACGTATAACTTTGGTGACATAAAGCCTTTTTTCATATTCTCATCGTTCTTGTATTTCCACATTCATATAATCCATAAATACTTGAGCAGTAATAAAAAAGTCCGCTCACAGCTCACAGCGTGTACCTGTTGCAGACATGGCAGTTCAGAACTTTGTTGGTGATGCATTCAGAGGTGCCACATGGGTAGCCCTGCACAATGGAGGTGGTGTTGGCTGGTAAGTCTGACTACAACAGTTCGCCAAAGCCATATTTATGTATTAATACAAATTTAAATCAGGGTGATTATAACTGCCTCCCATTTACAGGGGTGAAGTCATTAATGGAGGATTTGGTTTGGTGCTGGACGGCTCAGACGAGGCAGCAAAGCGTGCCCGTCTGATGCTCAACTGGGATGTCTCCAATGGGGTGAGATAGCTGAATGCGAAGCAGCTTACAGCCTCACTTCACCGTCTGCAGATGATAATTGTCCTGCTGCTATCTGTGTGTTTCTGTGTGTTGCAGGTGGCTCGTCGCTGTTGGTCTGGAAATTCAAATGCTTACGAGACCATCCAGCGCACCATGGAGGAGAACAGGCAGTTGCATGTCACCATGCCCTTTCCTGTGCAGGACGAGCATGTGCTGGATCGTGCCCTGCAGGGCTAAGCAGCAAGGCAAAACCAGCAAGCTGTGTAAAAAACCAGCCACAAAACTTATCCATCGGTTCAGATTTTACATAACAGACTTATCATACCACATTCATACCACAAAGACATCTGAATACGCAGAAAGCCTGCAAATATTTGTCAGTACTGCACTAGGTAATAAATCTATATACAGTGGCAATTTCTAAAACAAAACTCTATCAGGTTGCTACGGTGTTTCATATATTTTAAATGCATGTATTCTTTATTTTCGAACTTGTATACATTATAAAACCTGTGTTATTTGTGTGTACTGAACCCGCTATTACTATCAAGTAATTAAAATGCCAAGTCCTATATTTCATGTGCCATACAGGATGTAAAGTAAGAAAAACTGCAGTTCTCCGCAGTAAGAGTTAAACGACTGATGTTCGAGCCAAGGCCAAGTTGGTCACAGTTGATAACCTTTCTTCACTGCTCATAGCTTTGTATATATATATATATACGGAACACGGATCTTGAGGATCCGAGTTCCGTTTTGTTACACTCTCGAAGGCGAATGGTCGCGTACTTACTACAGGTCTTTGCTCTGTCTGCTGAGATCCTGCCGTGCGTCTTAACGCGGGATTGTTCCTTTAAGAAAACTGTGAATGGTCCATGAATTTGAGCCTCGTCGCGCTGACGTAAGGGAATTGGAGAGGTTGGTGTGCCTTGCAGGAAGAGACAGATAACAGTGATGAGGACCAGGCAAAGGTACCAGATTTTTTGCCGAGATTTTTTCCCCCACTTGTTGTGTTTTTATAACCTCTACATTTACCCAGCCAATTGCTGAAGTCGTTTGAAGTCCGTGACAGTATAACGGTGCTTATTCCCCTCCCTTTTCTGCACATCGAGGATTCTTTTTTAAATTTTAGATTGCCTCATTTTTTTTCTTCAGCCATAAAAAGAATGGATCGTGACGTGTTGTAAGTAAGTACGAAAGTCGTCTGGATATATGTGGATGAGCTAAGATGACACTGGGTATTTTATGCGGCAGAGCCTGGTGACATTTTCTTTTCTGCGCCACCGTCGGCTTTTAGAGAAAAAATGGATCATTACCAGGAGGAGCAGTCGGTAAATCCTATTACCGCGCAGCACGGGACAGCGACCAACAGCGACTCCAACTTGGGCAGCGGCCTGACTGACCTCCAGCCACCTGCTTACTTCAAACTGGAGTTCAGGAGAAACGCGGTGACCGATGACTACAAAATAACATCTCAGGTCCTTGGCCTGGGAATCAATGGCAAAGTACTGGAGTGTTACTGCAAGAAAACAGGAGAGAAATGTGCGCTCAAGGTTTGTGACTGTGCCTGCCGCTTTATTTTGTTGTTGTCGCTGGAAAGAAAGAGAACAGCCATCAATTATTCATTTCCCCACAGTTGCTGTGGTCTGCACCGTGTAATGGTGACTGGAAATCTGTGCAAATATCCTAATGTCGTTTTATCTTCAGGATTTGATGTCAACTTTAATGTGCGGCAGCTTCAAATTTAGAATGATATGATACTCACGAACCAGGGATGGATGGAGGAGTAACCTGAAGCAGATTTGCCTTTTGAACTACTCAGACAGTAGTTGTGTCTCACACGCTGTTGTATGCTGTCTGTGATGCTGCTGCACAGCTTTTACTGTTGTGATGTTGTTATGTGGACAATGAGCTTCTCTGTTAAAACTTTATACCAGTGTCTCTGACTTATAAAAAGGAAAAAAAAAATCCCGCATTTTTCACTCATCCATGCAGCAATGTTGAGCCCACAAAAGCTTATGTGTTTGGAGAAATGCAGCTCTAAAACTACTTTTAGCTGCTCTCTTATTCACAAGGCTGTCGCCAGATTGGGTTGCTCCTCATGTTTGATTTGGCAGATTTTCACGCAGGATGTAATTCCTAATGCAACTCCCAAGGAACTGCTGTTAATTAAATAAACAGCTGGCTATGGGATTGCAGGAAATCCTTATAGAATTAGGCAGGAAGGGCAATCACTCCTGTTCCTCCACGTCTTTTCTTTCGAGGTGATGAAATAAGTGGTATTGTGTGAGTGGCAATGTATGTTGATGTGTTATCTTCCTCCTTCAGCACTCAGCTTGCATTGTCACAGCTTTTGGGATATGTGTGCTGAGTGCAGCTTTAAAATCCTGACTTTTATTGCTCCCTCTGGAATAACTGCTCAGCAAACAGCGGTAATTTAATGCCTTTAATTTTGCCTGCCTTGAACACTGATTTGCATTTTAAAGCATTTCATTATAACGTTTAGAACATTTTGTCACGTTCAACAGATTCTCTACGACACTCCCAAAGCTCGACGGGAGGTTGAGCTGCACTGGCGAGCTTCCGGAGGTCCCCACATTGTACGGATACTCAGCCTCTATGAGAACATTCACCATGGAAAGAAATGTCTCCTCATTGTTATGGAATGGTGAGAATGAACACACTGTTTTTTGGCACCTTAAAGCAAAAGCAGTTGCTTAAAAATGGCTTTTACAGATACAGATATGGAGAACAGTTTGTGAATCTGATTTAATCAACAGACTTTTCAGAGTAAATATTGTAACTAAATGGTAAATGGCCTGTATTTGTATAGCGCTTTACTAGTCTCTAAGGACCCCAAAGCACTTCACACATGTGATTCACACACTGGTGATGGCAGCTACATTGTAGCCACAGCCACCCTGGGGCGCACTGACAGAGACGAGGCTGCCGAACACTGGCGCCACCGGGCCCTCTGACCACCACCAGTAGGCAACGGGTGAAGTGTCTTGCCCAAGGACCCAACGACCTAGACTGTCCAAGCCGGGGCTCGAACCAGCAACCTTCCGATTACAAGGCGAACTCCCAACTCTTGAGCCACAATCTCCCCTAATCATTTTCTCATTTCACTGATTAATCAATGGTGTTTTAAACACTCCACAATTTTGAAAACTCATTATAACTTCACTGAAGAGGTGGTTTGAGTGTGATTATTCGTACAAACAGCCAAAATTAAAAAATGTGAGTTTATGTGAGCATGTGTATTATTCCTTTGTGTTGTTATTTTGCTTCCTGTTAAATTTTAACTTGTTAAAACAGTTAAACTAAAACTCGAAGTGGACGCAACAAAAGAAGTAATAAAATAAAATGAATATAAATAGCTAATAATAATAATAATTGAATGCATACAAGTCTAAGAAATGGTGGTCAAACAAAAACCCTCAAGACTGAACCCGCCTGAGCAGTTAATAGTCGGCACAATGACTTGCTTTGTTATAAAACCGTGATTGCAGTGGACAACTGCGGTCATTTGCCAAGAGTACCCTCACTGCCCCAGTTCTGATCTCTTTGTTAATCTTGTCTCAGCATGGAGGGAGGGGAACTGTTCAGTCGCATTCAGGCCAGAGGGGACCAGGCTTTCACAGAGAGAGGTGGGTTCGAGTTCACATTTAACAGTTTCATTTAATGGTTTCTGCATTGCAATCTGTGCTACCATGTCTCTCATATCCTCCAATCAGAGGTGTCGGAGATCATGCATGACATTGGCATGGCCATAGAATACCTCCACCACATGGACATTGCTCACAGAGATGTAAAGGTACTGTAACGCTGTTCTTTCAGAAGCTGCTGAAGACCGCAAGTCTGGTTAAAATATGCAAGATTGCATTAAAAAGTTAACCCTCCACACAGCAAAATGACGCATACCCAGAGTTTTAAATACAATGTCAAGTGTACATATGTAATAAGATGAGGGTGACAGACCAATCTAACTTTAGTGTAAAGTTGATGCACTGAAAAAGGCCACTGCGTGCGTATTAGTGAGATGCAGCAGTACGCTGTGCCCTGGAAATCATTTACACAGTTAATAAAAGAAATAAAAGAAAAGATTTTATAAAACACAGTCAGATTAAAGGGTTTTTTTCTTGTTTGTTATTCTCACCACAGCCTGAAAACTTGCTCTACACAACTAAAGAGAGCAACGCTACTCTAAAGCTGACTGACTTTGGCTTTGCTAAGGAGATGACGCTGCACAACTCCCTGCAAACTCCATGTTACACTCCGTATTATGTTGGTGAGTGTCCAGAGAAATGTGATTGCAGGAGTTTCAGGTGCACTGCGTATTTGTCAGTATTAGAGTCAAAATTTGTTTTATTTTATTTATTACTGTCTCCATGTGTGTCTGCATATGATTGACGTTTTTGTGTGACTCTGCCCACATTATCGTGTTGTATCTGTTTGCCCATTCAGCGCCAGAAGTGCTTGGGCCAGAGAAATACGACAAATCATGTGACATGTGGTCTTTGGGTGTAATCATGTACATCCTGTGAGTATCTTGTGCCTCTCTAATTAGCAATACTAATGACTAAAAATCAATTCTGCATAGTGCAAAATTAAGAAAGTGTAAGGTTCTCTTCTCTTCTCTTCTCTTCTCTTCTCTTCTCTTCTCTTCTCTTCTCTTCTCTTCTCTTCTCTAGACTCTGTGGGTTTCCTCCATTCTACTCAAACACAAGCCAGGCCATCTCTCCAGGCATGAAACAGAGGATCAGGTTGGGCCAATATGAGTTTCCGAACCCAGAGTGGGCAGACGTTTCTGAGGAAGGTCAGACTAACAGAATAACTAAACAATACTCGCACTGCTGTGAAATAAAATGCAAGTAGAGAGAGGCTCTAAATGAATATGCTATTGGTCCACAAAGTGTAAATTACTGTGCCACGGCGCTTCAGCGTTCAGCCTCACTTTAATCCTCGCACGCTCTAACAACATAATCATGTGCTTAACAGAGAGAGTGGAAATGACCTGCATAAACTTTCCGCTGTAATAGGAACCTCATGGTTTGCAACACTAGATCTCTGTATGTAAAACTTCCCATGGTGTTGACTGTGTGTATCTTTTTGTTCTCTTGAGTGAAGAGGATTTTTTTTTGTTCTTTTACATTAGTTCTCGTTTCCAGTTTCCAATCACTGAAGAATTGAGAACATAACACTTCTCAGAGCTTTAGAGCTTTTGCAACATAACAACTGAGATAAACCCATAAACATATCTTTATTCCACATGCACGTTGCCCTGTTGGATTGCTTGACTGTGTTTCTTATTGTTACCTGCAGCCAAACAGCTCATCATTCAGTTACTGAAGACAGACCCCAGCGAGAGGATGACCATTGGACAATTCATGAACCATCCTTGGATTAGTGTGAGTTAACATCTGTGCCCGTTCACCTCTGTGTTTTCTCCCAGTGCACACACTGATGTGAATGTTTTTATTCAACAGCAATCCATGGTGGTCCCTCAAACACCTTTGTACACCTCTCAGGTTTTGACAGAGGACAAGGAACTATGGGAAGATGTAAAGGTGAGAATTGTATTTACTTCAGAATCTGGCCACAAGATGGCAGTAGAGCATTATCTCAGATTTAAAGCACAAACTGTGTCTTCCAACAGGAGGAAATGACCAGTGCCCTGGCCACGATGCGCGTAGACTACGACCAGGTGAAGATCAAAGACTTGGATACATCCAACAACCCTCTGCTGAAGAGACGCAAGAGGCCCGTTCCTCCGGGAGCTGACGGCGTGGAGGAAGCTGACAGAGGGGATGGAGATGGATCAGGAGTGTGTGACAGTCAGAGAGAAGTATTGTTTTCTGAAGAACATGGTGACATGATCACGGAAGAAAAGTAGCATTAAAACCAGAGTAGCAACATTTTCCATCCACATATCAATTGTTGTACTTTACTCGTTCTTTGTGTTCCTGCACTCACTTTAAAGAATGCCATTTATTTTTAACTCTCACTACTTAAAGTGAAATAAAATGTTGTTTTTTATCTTTTACATTGGTGTCCTGTCACATTTTACATGGCAGCTCATTTTATACAGAACACTAAGAGACTTGGAAACTTTACATTTATTCTGATTGTGAGTAAAACAAGAAAAAGCATTAACCTTAGAGACTTTGTATAAGCATTAGGAACTGATTTTCCTCTCTGTAACCAATGAAAGACGATATGTGGAAGCCATAAAAGATAGTCACTTAGGCAAGATAACATACAACTAATTCCTCTTTACAAGTCACAACTGTTTACGTGGTTATGTCACTGCGCTGTCAAGGGACTAATAAACCTTGAGAAGTGAAGGTGTTAACATGGTTCATGCTCGTTATTAATCTTGCCAAACATTTCCGCTTGCTTGAAATGTCTTTCTTTACCAAGCCGTTAGTGTTTCCCGTTGTACTTGACTTCAAGATAAATGTTGTTCACTTTTTCACTCTAAAGTGTGCAAAACCAAAACACAAGCTCTCTAATTCGGACTTGGATGTTTCATGTACACAAAACCATTAGAGAACATAATTATACTAACTACTGAATCTTAAACAATGTCAGATTTGAATGCCTTCTACTGGGATTTCTATGTGAAACCCTGATCTCATGCAGTGCAGTCAATATTTTCCACTGGAAGGGTCGTGGATTTAAAGCAACATGGAAATGTAAATATTCAGGGAAATTAAAATAATTTCCTTGGGTACAGAACTTAAGCAAATGTATGAATATAGGTGTTTAGTTTTGTGTTTGTCTTTAAAAGTTGGGGCCCAACCAGAACAGGGAACTGCCTTCCTTAAAAACGACTTTATTTACACTTCATCCCACATATGGTTAATAAGTGCTCCTTTGTTTCACTGATGATTGTACAAATGACCTTTGAGTATGCACCCTCAATCATTTGGTTACTCGAAACTGAGTGGATACATGGTGTCCATAAATTTGCATGATGACATGCTGTAATGGAAACGTTACCATTCAAACTATGGTTAGGATCAGGAAGTGGTGTGTTCAGGACAGGTCCAAAGAAGACGCATCTGGAACAGGAGGGAAGGCGAGATTAAGAGGGTTGAGGTAAGGCGAGGAAAACAGGAGTCTCTGTGATGGCTCTGTCTCTGATTACTGGAAGTCAGGTTATAAGTGACCTCCTGACGATCCGTGAGAAAGGCGTCCTCATCAGTCTGCTGGAGCCGCAGTGTAAGGTACACTTTATTAATTTGTATGAAAACAGCTGAAAAATATGATGGAAAAATAAATAACAAGGCTGAGAAAATTGAATGTGTTTTAAGAGGGTAAAACACATGATGATGATAATATTACTGTAGTAGCTCGATGTGCTATGATGTATGTCTCTGAATCATTTCATGCTCACACTTGTTTTCATGTTATCATCTGCTGCTATCAGAAGGAGCCTGGTGTATGAATGGGCCATGTGTTAGAGCTGTTTTAGTTTTACATTTAGCCTAATCTTGTCATCCGCAGTCTCAGATGCTTGTTTTGTCTGGAACCGTTGTGTTCCCAGAGCATCAACCACAATATTTAAATATTATTTAAATACCACTCCGCAGTAAATAAATGAGGCATTTTTAATTTTTTTTCAGTGTTAGGGCTTTAGACAGTTATTTAATTAAATTTTAAATTCTGTGGTGTATTTGTTACCTTCCCTCTGTTTTCTTTTGCTTAGAGAGTAGAGGCTGTGTTCGTTCTGGCCAAAACATTTCTGTTGTGTAACACAGAGGCACTGTGCCGGCTCTCTCTAGTGTAGATCAAATTAGGCTATGCACAAACAGGCTCTCCCAGTTTATTACGTTACACTGACATTATCACTACCAAGAAGAAACAATTTGGGGAAAAAAGACACAGAGCAGACCCAGAACAGAGACACTGATAGGAAAGACATCGTCTTCATGGTGCAGCCATAGATGGCCATGTGATTGGCAACATAAAAATACTAAATTGAGAAAAAAAATCACAAAAGTAAAGAAAATACATTCTTTTATATCCTCCAACAAAATTCTAGGGTTAACTTCCAGAGTTCACAAATACATCCTTTATAGTGGCATGTAAATGATTAATGACCCCTTTTTAGGGCACTATAAAGTTCTTGTATGGTATCCTGTGTTTATATGCACACAAACTGCATTGCGCCTGGTGTTGTGAACTGGCACTCAGTAGATAAAACTGAATTATGTTAAACTGAAAATCTGCAGTGTGAAGAACACACATCCAGATCCAGGAGGGCAAGTATAGCCTGACTAACACATTCTAGACAGATGTAACTGTGTCATCAGCACAACAGAGAACATTAGATATCTTGATTAATTTC